CTCACGTTGTGCCCCAGTAACCGTATTTGCCGGACCCAGCCCCAGCACTTTTTCATGTTACCCAAACTCAAAACCATGTTGAAAGGACGTCGTTTCCAAACCATGGAGGAGATTAAGAACAATGCGACAAGAGACCCACACCATCCCAGAAAGTGCGTTCCAGGAAGCTTCCCAAAAAGTGAAGTACCGTTGGGAACGGTGTATTTGCCAGTAGCGGGGACTACTTTAAGGAGGAAAGTGCTTAAAACCATGTGCAATGAGCAATAAAAATGTAAGCAAGTTGGTTTCTTTTTGAAGACCCCTCGTATTTTTGCTGACAACAAGTCTCCTGTTGACCGTTTCCCGCACCAAACGGAAAAACCTATTATAGTTACCAAGAGCAGCGGCCACTTCCATCTCTGACGTACGAAGAGACCCCCAGGATTCACGGTCTCACTTCAGGCCAGCACGACAGTTTGCCCTTCGGTCTTGACGAGTTTCGTGTTCGCTTGTGCCGACGAACATCCAGAAATTCCAGAGACCGCGAAGAGACGCAATATCCAAGTTGGTTATTAGACTTACCACATGAGGATTTGCCTGCTGCTAGTAAGGTCTGGCGAACATGCGACCAGTGACCTTGAAGTGTCTCCAGTGAGCGCAATCCAGTGTACTTGAATACACAATCAGAACATGGGGTTTCGCCAGTTGGTTGGTGTCTATGCGCTCACAGGGACTTTACACGTTCCACGTCACCAACAATCGCCATCTATAAAGACCTATAAGTAATTCTGAGGCTCATAAGCGCCTGGGTTGTGGACACAAGGACTGAATTTCCAGTGAGGGTGTCTTTACTCAATATGACAGGTAGGCAACTGGTTTTAATAGTTATTTTATGCTCATTGTATGTGATCCCGACAATCCCCTAGTTTACAAGAAAGTAATACGGATAGATAAATGCTTAGAGCATTGGGCTGAACACTTTGAAGGGCAACTCAATCAGAAAGAAAGTTCCTTGCCGTTTAGTGATTGGCCTGCTCCCTGAACTACCCTCAAGCGAAGAAGTCGAACGTGCTATCGGAATATGGAAGTTGAGTAAGACCGCAGAACCGGACGGACTTTTACTGGCACTCCCCAAATTTAGAAGACCAATTCTTGTGGACAACTTGCACGATTTATTAGTGAGACAACAGATTGTCCCAACCGATTTGGGAGCATCGCTATCGCCCCAGTTCGCAAGGATTTTCATACTCGGAATATTGTAGTTATAACGGTGCCAGTTCTATCTGAATCACCCATATGTTCCTCTCCTGTCGTCATGGAATGACTGGTGCCAATGAAAACCAGATGTATGGAGAGCAAGCTGGGTTTCACTGGAACATGGATTGTACTGACCACAACTTCATTTACGTCAGTTATTAGAGTAGTACCATGTGCATCGGCTACCCACCCTGAAAGTTTTCCATGACAGCAAAGATGCCTTCCATTCGGTGGATCGATGCGCTTTTTGGAACTGTCCGACTGGGAAGAGTGTGACCGAGAAATGGGCAGACATCATCACGCTTTACGCGCGTAGTTTGGGAAGCGATGATTTACGGTAAACTGGAGACTAAATTCAGTATATCCAGCGATGTGAGACGACGAAGCCTGGTGTTTTACTTTACCCTTTCAAGTTCGCTATTGATGAAGTCAAGAAAAGATGTAGAGTTGCTTCCATGTGATCGACTACTAGACTCGTAACACACCGGGGATATCGCCCAAATGTGTGACAGTTCAAAAGCATGCCAAACCGAGAATACATTAGTTCCTGATGTCAACCGTTTTCGGACTGTGCTTTGTAACCACGAAATGCCCATCGCATTGGGGCTGGACTTAACTGTGGTGCGATGGTTTGTGTGCCTCAGCGATCCATTGAGCTATGCTGGGTGGTGCTTTTGCACCTTCAGAGTCACTCATACCAGATTGGTCAATGGTTAGAGGCCAGACAAACTCAGCCTCCTGGTCCTCCAGGTTGGGGGTTGGAATGAGGGTGGCACCTTATTCCTTAAAACGGACTCCTTGTAGCCCAACGCCAAACCCGCTGCCTTGCGGTCAGGTTTTTGAACCAAAGGCTTTGGTTGAGAACCCTAATCGTTCTCCTGTCTAGGCCTGGGCAACCTGACAGTATCCTGCCCACGCAATACTATGAATTTCCTTCAAACAATTTCTTGATGCTCTGGCCACCGCAGAGGATAATCAACGGTGCCCTATCTGCTGCATCGAGCAGGGTGGATAGGGGTTTGGATGCTACTGCTCAAGCCTTCCCGTCTTCTTATTCCCCCTCTTACGCTTTTTCACTCTTACCGTCCCATTCCAACTTCACTTATATCCCCCCAGTTTTCAACCCCCCGATTCTTGGCCCTCCCCCAACATGCTTTGCTAGGCATTTATCTTCTAATTTCAACTCACATGTGAACGCGGAGCGTCACTCCTCTCCTGTCGACAAGCCCATGTCCAACCAAGCGGTCCAATCCAGTTCATCGGCTTCCATTTGGAGCCCTCGATCCTCCTTCAGATTGGCATGCCTCAATGTACGCACACTGCTACAAATCGGTCAACAGGCAGCACTTGCCCGAACATTGGAGACCCTCTCGATCGATATCTGCTGCTTATCAGAGACTCGCCTGCAAGACTCGAGCACTGTGCTCACTCTGCGATCCCCTTCAGGTGACGCAAGCAGTATTTTCTCCTTGCGCCTATCCGGTGACGATGCAGCTTCGAGCACCGGCCAAGCTGGTGTTGGTATTGCCCTGAGTCCCCGGGCTGAAGCTGCTCTGGTTGATTGGATTCCAATCAGTAGCCGGATGTGTGCGGTCCGATTGGCTGGCTCGTTTAAAGCTTCGAAGTCGCGCGGGACTAATAGATGTCTATTCATCATCGCTGCCTATCGCGCCCACAAACTGTAGCGATGATTCGGTAAAGAACGACTTCTACCGCCAACTGACCCAGCTCCTTCGCCACAGAAGAAGCACGGACACTGTTGTGCTGGCGGGGGATATGAACGCACAAGTTGGAAAGTTGTCCACTGATGAACTGCATCTGGGCGGTCAACACGGTGTAGGCTCCCGTAATGATAACGGTGAGCGGTTACTTCATTTGTGTGAAGATGCTCGCTTATTTCTTGCGAGCACTAATTTCCGACACAGCACCCGCCGGAGGGTGACTTGGCGCCCACCAGCCTCGAACCAGCCTTGGACGCAGATCGATCACATTGCGATAAGTTACCGCTGGAGAGGCTGCATCCAGAACTGTCGCTCGATTTGGAGCACATGTGTGGACACCGATCATGCACTTGTATGTGCTGACATGCGGATGCGTTTTGGCGGACGCCCACGACGACGCTGTGAGCGCATTGACACCAGCCAACTGACAAAGCCAGCTGTTCTGAATGCGTATCGAAGTACGCTGACATGCGAGTTGAGCAAGCGCTCACTAGGAGACAATTGATGGTCACTGGTCACATGTTCACCAGACCTTACTAGCAGCAGGCAAATCCTCATGTGGTATGTCTAATAGCCAACATGGACATTGGGTCTCTTCGCGGTCTCTGGAACTTATCGATGCTCGCCGGCAAATCCCGGCTGGAAGCGAACACAATGAAACTCGCAAAGAGCTCCGGGCAAAACTCCGTGCTAGCCTGAAGAGAGACCGCGAATCTTGGTGGTCTCTTCGTGCGTCAGACATGGAAGTGGCCGCTGCCCTTGGTAACCATCGGAAGTTATTCCTTCTGATACGGGAAACGGGCAGCAGGAGACTTGGTGTTAGTGAAACAGTTTATGACGAGAGTGGACAGCCTATCCACAACTTGTCAAAACGTTTGGAGCGTTGGGCTGAGCGTTTTAAAAAGCAATATAATTATCCGGAATCGTTCGATTCTTCGCCCGTCAGTGATCGCCCTGCTCAGTGGGCTGTCCCTTTGGTTCTGCCCTCTCTCTCTCAGAAGTCAAACGTAAGATCGGACTGTTGAAGTTGAACAAAGTCGCGGTACCAGATGAGCTTCATTCAGCCCGCTACAAATTCGGGGGGCCCTGCTCCTGTTAATGATTTACACGAATTACTATTGGAACTGTGGGAGCAGGAAATTGTCCCAACCGACTGGAGGCACTACGTTAATGTTCCGCGCTTCAAAGGAGGCTCGCGTTCGGAATGCGGCAACCATAGAGGAATCAGTCTGATCAGCATTGCCTACAAATTACTTGCCGCTCTAACTATTCACAAACTGACTGACGCTCGTGAAAGCCAGATTGGAGAGGAGTAAGCCGGGATTCGTTGGGGTCGTGGCTGCATCGACCACAACTTCAGTTTGCTTCCGTTGTAGAAGTACTGTCACACATATTCGCGGCCCACCGCAGTCGTGTTCCTCGAGATTAAAGGTGCCTTCGATTAGGCTGATCGATGTGCCCTATTGGACTGTCTACTCAGGAAAGGTATGCTCGAGAAATAGGAAAATATTATGCAAGCACTATACGCGCGTAGCATAGATATTGAGGGCTTAGACTAAGTTGTCGCCGCCATTCAGTAACTCCAGCGGTGAGACAAGGATGGCCGTTGCCACCTTTCCTCTTCAACTACGCTATTGACGAAGTCATGGAAATCGCGTTTACAGGACACGACTTAGGTATGGAGAACAAGTTCCTGATTTGTATGCAGACTATATTGCCCACATTTGGGACGGCTCCCAGACATGCCAAGCTGCAATGGACAGATTAGCACTGGTTGTCAGCCGCTTCAAGCTTTGCTTTGCATCCTAAGGTGCTAAGCTTTCCTCCAAAGTTGGCAGAGATCGCCTCCTGCGCTGACACTTGGTGGGGATCAGCTAGAAGTCGTTCAGAAATTCAACTACATGGGAAGTTGTATCAGTGTCCTTGGGATCAAAGATGAGATCACGAGCCGTATAGCAAAGCCCGAGGCGCTTTTGCTAACCTTCGCCACCTATGGCGCCGGCGCGACATCACTCTCTCCCTGAAGGAGAAGGAGTATACAATGCAGCCGTATGTTCGACCCTACTGTACGGTTGTGAAACCTAGCCCATTAGATCGGAAGACATAAGGAGGCTAGTTACGTTCGACCACCGGTGCCTTCGCAGTTTGGCTCACATCTGGTGGGAATACCGTGTGAGTAACAAGAGTGTTCGCCGCCTTGTTTACGACACAGAAAAAGTAACTGAAGCGCTTATTGCCGTGATCTCACACACCAGCCTCCGATGCCTCGGCCATGTGTAACGCATGCCAGCCCACCGACTTCCACGACGTGCGTTACTTGCTTGTCGGGATGTGGATGGAAGAAGTGGAGAGGTGATAAAACGATGACTTGGTCAAGAGGAATGAAGGCCCTCACTTCGAAGCTGGCATCGGTTGGAGTGTCACGGCACTCTGGGTGGGGATCGAAAGATGATGAACACGCTTGGCTGGATACACTTGCTGTCATGGTGAAGAGTCGATCTTAGTGGCGTTCCAGCTGTGAGTTTCTTTGTGCCTCCCCACCTCACTTAGCCTCACCCTCCAACCTCGATCTCATTTCGTAGAAGATAACTTTACATAATAATAATTTTTGTTGCCTATTAGCCGGCTGGCAGCTTTGCGGAACAATGCCCATCCGTTGCTGGTAGCTCAGCTGAAATGCAATTGTTGCATTTTTCTTTTAGGTATTGCGGCACAGCAGCTGTGTTTTACACTAACTGATGTGTATAATGAAGGAATGAACCACGAAATGCAAGGCTTTCCTCTAGGATTGGCACGGACCAATCTCTGCGTGCAACCTAGCGATACTCAGATAGAAGTTGATCTAAAGTGGGCAAACAAATCAGTGCACGTGAGCTAGAAGACAGGACCACAAATCGTCCGCTTTTGACAAAGTTCGCCACTTGCAGCGCCGGAACGACATCACTCTCGCTTTAGAGAGGAGAGTCTACGACGCTGCCATCCGTTCAACCATAGTACACAGGAACAAAACCTTACTCAGGCAATCATCATCAATACACGTTAGCCGAGGGTGAGAAACACAACTCAGCTAATGTGCCGTAATACAAATAATGATCAAAGATTAATTAAAGGAGACAAAACTAGAAAGCGACATTATGCTAAAATCACAGTATGCCTTGTGTTGAGATAGTTGTTGGAGATGGAAGCTAAAGGGGAGGGGAGGGACAAAGAGGCTTACAGTACAAACGCCCGTCGCAACGAGACTGGACCTTAACGTGGTGCGACGGTTTGCGTACCTCATTGACCCATTGAGCTATACTGGGTGATGCCTCCGAGCATCTTGAGAGCTACTCCTACCAGGTTGGTCAATGGTGAGAGGTCAGACAAACTCAGTCTCCTGGTCCTCCAGGTTGGGGGTTTGAAATGGGATGGCGTCCATTTCTGTAAAACTAAATCACTGCCACCCCGCTGCCTTGCGGACAGGCTTTTGAGCCAAAGGCTTTGGATGAGGACCCTAATCGTTCTCCTGTCTAGGTCTGGGCGCCCTGGCAGTATCCCAGCCCACATACAACCATGACATTTTCTTCAAACATAAACTTCATCCTGCATCGGCCGTCGCGCAGATTATCAAGGGTCGCCTTATCTGCTGCATACAGCAGGGCGGATAAGCGAAAGCATGCTACTGCTGGCGCCTCCCTTCTTTCTTTTCCACCTTTTTCTCTTACTCCCATCCCGGCCCCCATTACTAACCTTCCTTCTATAATTCCCAGCTTAATTGACAGCAACCGAAGTGCTACTGGAGTAGAACCATCTGCAGCCACCATCCCACAGCACCTATCGGACGCCTATCGGCAAAAGTCCCTTATAAGGCCACGCTGTCCCGTTTCCATGGCGACATTCAACGTCCGCACTCTAAGACAAACAGGTCAGCAGGCTGCACTCGCACGCACCTTGGACACACTGGGTGTTGATGTGTGTTGTGTGTCCGAAACTAGGATTAATGACCCTAACGGGGTTATTGAATTGACTGCACCCGGCTTATCCTCTCGTTATTGGTTGCACGCATCCGGAGACGCCGATGCGGCACTCACGGGTCAAGCTGGTGTAGGTATCATTCTCAGCTCCAAGGCTGAGTCATCGTTGGTTGATTGGATTCCGGTGAACAGCCGTTTATGTGCAGCCCGTTTGACGACATCAGCTAAGGTGAATTCGCGAAGTAAAACAAAACGCTGTTTGTTTGTGATTTCTGCTTATGCTCCCACGGACTGCAGTTCTAATGCAGTCAAGGACACTTTCTATCACGAACTGAACACGCTGCTACGCAGTGCTACTAGTTCAGATATTATAGTACTTGCAGGGGATATGAACGCACAAGTAGGGCGTCTGAGCTCTTCAGAAGCTCAGCTGGGTGGTAAGTATGGACTTAACGCCGAACGGACTGACAACGGCGAGCGTCTGCTGCAACTGTGTGCGGAGCACCAGTTGTTTCTTAGTAGCACTGCTTTTAGACACAGTGGGCGCCGAAGTGCCACTTGGCGTCCACCTGTAGCTGGTCAGCGATGGACCCAAATTGACCACATAGCCATAAGTTACAGGTGGCGCGGTTCCATTCTGGATTGCCGCTCGTACTGGAGTACCTGTGTCGACTCTGACCATGCCTTGGTGCGCTGTCGTTTCTCCATGAACTTTACCGGAAGGCGCACAAAGCGTCTCCCCCGATTGGCAACGGAGAAATTGTCCCAGCCCTCTGTCAGGCAAGCCTATCAAGAAGCACTGCATAGCGAACTCTCGCTGTCTTGTCCTAATGACACTGAACTTCAGTGGAATAGGATCTCGGCCACTATGCACGACGCAGGAGCATCTGCTTGTGGCACTATCAGTCGTCATCGCACCAGTCACTGGATATCCGAGAGGTCCGTGAACCTTTTGGAAGCTAGAAGGCACCTCCCGGCTGGTTCTGAACACAATGTGACCAGACGGGCTATTAGGCGTGAACTAAAGCGGAGCCTACGTGCTGACAAGGAAGCCTGGTGGACCAGTCGGGCTCAAGAAATGGAGGAGGCAGGAGCAGTAGGCAATTACCGGAAGCTCTTCCAGCTAATCCGCACCACTGGTCCGAGAAAACCAGGCGTCAGTGAGACAATCAGGGACAGCGCGGGTGCGCTGATACACAATAAGGAGCGCCGTATGGCTCGTTGGGCTGAGCACTTTGAACATCAGTTCAGCTGGCCCCCTGCTCCCGGACCTCTTCCTACTCAGGTGATGCAGGACGAGCCATGGACGGTTAGTTTAGAGCCTCCGTCGGAGGCCGAGGTCCGAAACGCGATCACAGCCCTCAATCGTTTTCGTGCCGCTGGCCCGGATTCCCTACCACCTGCACTATTTAAGGATGGAGGTGAGGTCCTCTGCAAAGCACTGACCTCCCTATTCGAACGTATCTGGAACGAAGAGAGTGTGCCGGCTAATTGGAG